CTGCAAACTGGAAGTTGTATTGCGTGACGGCAAATGATGCAATTCTATTCGCTAACATTTTAATTAGAAAAGTAATCAGTACACCCAAAAAAAATTTACTTCTCACGAGTACAAGCCGGTACTTGGGGGTTTTAAAAATTAAGTTTTAAAAATACTCGTCCCAAGTACATTTTGTGTCTTTGGGTGAAGTACCACATCTGCCGATTGAGTAGAAATGATACTGGGAGGAAGTAGTATCACTACTTACTGCAAGTACTTTTAGTACTCATTACAAGTACCAAAGGAACTAGTGAAAAGTAATTTTTCAGAAATAATTTACCGGTGTCAGGTCTCGAACCCAGGACCTCCGGCTTTGTAGACGGACACCTTACCGACTCAGCCATACACCCGGCTGATTTAGCTTTTGTTAACAAGGCTGCTTAACTATTAACACCATTCGTTAATAGTTATCGAATGGAATTAATAGTTAAGAAACCTCGTTAACAGCTACTTAATCCCCTCATCTTTTCTATCGGTGTATAGATAAGAAAGAGGACTATCGGCTTTGATACTCCAAGACCTTCAAAATTATCGGACATTTGCGAATTATCTTCTTACATAGGGATCAATTTCGCAGATTAAAATTTCAAGCGCAAAGCGCGAGGGATTTCATTGCAAAACTTATTCCGATGGTTGAAAACTAAGGGTTTTATTGCGAAACTTATCCCGATGGTACAGGAAAACTTGAGGGAAATATCCTATGAATTTTAAAGGTTGAAGCCCTATATTATGGGATATTTTCAGACAGCTTTGTTGTGAACAAACAAGTCATTGGTGTCGAGTGGTTATTTTTGTGCACAAGTGCGGAAAGTTCACGAGCTGGCGCAAAGTAGATTCTCGTGCTCAAAATTCACTTTACACACGCCCGTGAACTTTACACACCCGAGTCGAGGATTTGGTTCGGATTGGACGTACACAGGTTTTTCAAGTTCTCTCCAGACCTAGATGGACCTGGTAAGTCCTAATCAGTTCTGCGACGTACTTTTCCAGAGACCTTTCGAATCCTCAGTTCTTTTCGGTCCTGAGAAGTCCTCCTCGATGCTACCGAGAACGCGTGATTTTACGAGCGGGTGAAGGGGAAGGCATGTATGCGGAGGGTTGAAATTTGTAGCCAACGAGGAGACAGGGTTGCAGAATATATTTTAGCCACCCTCATCTCCCCGTTTGCAGGCGGTGTTTAAATAAAAAATAGTGAACGTTGATTCTGTATTTTCTAACAATTCTGATGCCAATGAAGCCTCCGAAGGCGCGACAAAAGTGGAAATGAAATTTTTTTTTCACCCCGAGCCAGAGTCAGATTTTCTGTTTTTCCAGAGAAAAAGTCGACTTTCGCCAAAATCGAATTTTTTAG